GTGTGTGTGTGTGTGTGTGTGTGTGTGTGTGTGTGTGTGTGTGTGTGGTGTGTTCGCTCCCACATTTACTCGGGTTTCTTTTCAACCTCTCCATATATGGTGTGGCTCTAGAGCAGCCTGGGGATTGGCTGCTGTTGTTGGGAGACTCGGAGGTAGGAAGAAAGCAGAAAAAAGAACGAACCCAGCAAGGGGAGGGAGTGTCAAGGGGAGGGGCTGTAGCTGAGCTTTGAGGGTTGCAGAATGGGGCTGGGTGCCCTTGCCTGTAAGGTTTAGAAAGGGGAGAGATTCTTCGGGGCTGATTTTTGTGTGTAATGAGGTAGAGCTTACTGTTCGCAGAGGGTCTGGGAGAGGGCAGGGAAGGAGGCAAAGCTATTTCCCTAGGGTCGGCACCGCATTGGTTTGTGACGGCTGGAGCGGGAGTTAGAAAAACTTGGTTTTTTTTTCCTTTTCTTTTCACCCTAAACAACCTACAGCTATGCTGTGGAAATAGCATGCAAATTAATTCATCAGCTTTCCAGGTCAACACCTCAGATATTCTTCCTAATGGAGGCCAGTCAGGACTGTACCGCACTCTGTTCCCCAAACCTCTACAAGTTAATGGGGGAAGAACAGGAAAAGTTGAGGAAAATGTCATTGAAATAGGAAATGGCATTTAGTTCTTTACCTGTCTCTGCCCCTCGCCCCATGTCAACTCTGTGTGTACTGGATTTCCTCATCTCCCTTGCCTGGGGCCTCCCAAAAGATTCTCCCTTTTCCAGTTCATTTGTGTAAGAAAAGAATATAGCAAAGATGTTGGAAGAGAGGAAAGGAGGAAGAAAAATACACATCCTGAGAAACGTCTATCGGCAACTGTGTAGTAAGCAGGTTGCCCCGCACCCCTACTCAATCCACCCATTTGCCCCAGAACACGTGACTGGGAGGAAGTAAGGGAAATATTTCAGGTAAAGAAACTGGAGTGATGCAGTGAGGGAAGACGGTTCTGGGAGGAGGGAAAAGCTAGAGTTCCAGCATCATTATCCTCCAGCCACAGTGCCGGTGCTCATGCTTCCTTAACAGAGATCACGCTAGCAGCCCACCACCAGCGTACGCTCTTAAGCTGTTTTTCTAGCGGGGAGCCTGGCTTTGTGCTAAGCTCTGAAATTCTTGAAGACAGGAGATCAAGCTTTCTCCCTTCTTTCTATCTCTGGCCTTTAGCCCAGTACCTGGTATTCTCTCTCCTTGAAGAAAGGCTTATGGGCACAGTCTGTGGACTGGATCAACTCGTGTACCAGAACACAGTGACAGTAACCCCATCCCCTAAGCCTCATTCTAACTGTACTCCTACCACCTGAGCTACTGTTAATAGCCCACTGAGTCAAACTAATAATAGCAGCAGCTGCCCCAGCAGCTATTTACCAGCTGGCAGGCATTTTCCATACATTGTCTTTACACTTCCACTTTGCAGATGAGAAAACTGACACTTGGAAAGCTTGTGCCTTGCCCAGGGTCTCATAACTAAAAAGTCAGAATTTGAACCCAGATCTGTCTGGTTCCAAAGCTGGCCTCATCTTACCACCTTGTGGCCTGGTTTTGGTGCCTTAAGACTGCAGGAGCCCAGGGCCCAACCCTTAGTCTCCCGGGGTCCCTGATCTTTCTTTTCTGCTTCCCCTCACCTTTCTCCTCTCCGGTGTCTCCCTCCATCCTCTAGCTCCCCTGGGAGCCACAGATAATTGGCATGTTGGGATATACATGTCATTCTTGCTTTTGTCTTTTTCTTCATTATGTGGGAGCGACAAGGAAAAGAAAGAGAGAAAAAGGAAAATGCTGGTAAAATAAATTAATACAAAAATGCAGACTTACATATAGAAAGTAAATATTTTAACCTAGGCTTTCAATATTTGTGACAACGGGTAGCTCTGCTGACCATGCTTAGAGTTTAGGTGAGCAAAACTTGTTTGGAGGATAGGAAGTCTGGAGACCCAGGCTCCCTCCCCTCCTACCCCAGGAGACTCTGGGAATGACATGTAGGTGGCACTCTGGTGTACTCTCCTCACTCAAGGATACATGTGATTTAGTTATCTACAGGATAAATCTAGGGGAAATCTTCATGACTGTGACTGGTGGGGACCGAAAGAGCATGAGAATCTCTCTTCCCTACAGATGTTCAACTTGGACGGATTCCCCCATCTTGCTTACGGGGGTTATGGAGTAATGTCAGAGCAGAAGAGTGGCAATTGAGGGTCTGTGTTTTGCCCAAAGGATTTTCCTTGTTTCCCTCCTACCCCACCTTCCTGAATGTCACACGAGGGCAGCTTTGTGGCCAGGACGTACGCACAGTTTGTCCCCATTTTCTCCTCTTCTCCCCTCTCACCCTTAGGTGAACTCTAGGTTTTGGCTCTTGGAGGTGAGAGGGGACCTAGGGAAGGGGATCAGGAAGCAAGGGGTCTACAGTTGACCCTTGAACAACGTAAGTTTGAACTGCGCAGATCCACTTACATGCAGATATTTTCCAATAAACCCTACACTACACAGTCGGCGGTTGGTTGAGCCCTCAGGTGCAGAGGAACCATGGATATGGAGGGCTGACTGTTAATTTACAGGTGGATTAACCCTCGCACTTTTCAAGGGTCAACTGTACTTCAAAGTGTTTTTTTTTTAACCCTTCATTACTTGATTCACGGGACTGTCCCCTTCTTTCCAAAAATCATTCATATGTCGCCTTCTTCTTCTCTGGACACTATCACTGTTATTAAACCTGATCTTAGAAACTTCAGAGGGAAGAAGCAATCAAAATGAGCTGTGTAGTCTCTACCGCAGACAAGAATGTCGGGGAGTCTGGCAGCTGCAGAGGTGGTCAGGAGGGTGGTGGTGTGAGCATAAAGATGTTTTTCTAAAGCTGGGGCTTGATTAGTGTTGGAAGTAAGGTTCGAGGAAGGAGAGGGAGAGGCTACAGGAAACCCTAGCTTGGCCGAAAGAGGAACCTGGGCATATGTTTGGCTTTCCCCTTCATCCTACCCAGCTTGCATCACAAATCAGTTTCCGTTTTAGCGTGGTTCTTCCGTGGGGTTGACTGTCCCCGGTTCCCCTGTGCTAGGCGCCCCTAGCCAAGTGACCAAATCCATCCCACCCGTCCAGGGCTGTATCTCTGAATCAGTGTTGGGAAGGGTGTGAGAGAGGAAGGGAAGAAACACCTCATACAAGAAAGCCAGGCAGCGTGATCGCAATCAGAGGCTGCTAGGCGTGAGAAGCCAGTGCCCGGCGGCGGGGCTGGGGGTGTTTTAATCGCACAAACCCTCCTCGGGACTGGGATAAATTTCACTTGTGTGTGCGTGGACAGGTGGCACTGGCTCCCACATCTCTTGAGCTAGGGCTGAGTGGCTGAAATTTCACCCTCAGATTGAAAACTTGGAATGGGACACAAGAGACGGCCCACACCTCCCCCTCTAAACTTAGGAGCCCAGATACATCTTTGGGAGCAGCAGGATATTCCTCACCACACCTCAGAGGGGTGGTGCGTGTAATACGGTCAGACTGTGCCTCCGTCACCCTCTCTCTCTTCATACAGGTGAAAGCTTCTTAATACTGCTGTAGGGGTCACCTCCTCCCCAGATCTGAGGCAATTTAGGTCTCAGAGAGATAGATGGGGGGAAAGGAGTTTGGGAAATAAGGGCTGTAGGAGGGTCGGGCAGCAGCAAGAGCAACGAATTTGATCGTGTTTTTGTTTTCTTTTTTGACTGAGGTAAATAAAAAAGCTGTATCCTGCAACACTTGGAGATAAGAGTCTGTCCACCCCACACGTTCCAGACTCTGTCACCTTCCTCTACATCAGGCTCTTCCGGTACTGGCTATGCTGGCTGGGCTGTCTGAGGTGGGAGTCGGGGGTCTGCAGGTCCATCTGTCTGTACAGGTCCCTCAGCTCCCTGACTTCCTGGAGCACCCTCTTCGCCTGGCTCCAATTTGATGACGCCTCTCCCAGCAGCCGCTCTGTCTCCAGCAGCAGCTGTTCTGACTCAGAATCGGGAGGAGACCGAGGGGGGTCCTTGGCCTTTCGCTTCCCGTCTCCCAGTCCCTGAACCTCTGCCAGCAGCTCCTGAGTCTTCTCCAGTTTCCTTGCTACCAGGTCCTGGATCCGGGACAGCTGCCCCGGGTGGGGTGGGATGGGGGTCGGGGGGTCCTGGGCCTGCAGTTGGAGGGTGCGGGCTGCGGCAGTGTCCCGCTGAGACAGGATCTCCTCCAGGGAGGCACAGCGGCCTTTTTCTGCGGGGCTCAACTTCTTGGGTGCCTGGGGGGTGTAGGTGGCCCCTCTGTCTGGCTTTTCCCAAAGTCGGGGAAGGCCGCTTGCCCGGTCCGAGGAGGGCTGGATGCGGTCTGAGTCTGCTCTCCGCCGGCTGCCTGCCAGCTGGGCCACAGACTTGTCCAGGTCGACTCGAAAGCTCTCAGCACAGGAGGTTGGTTCCTCAGGGGAAGGGTCTTCCTCCTGGATCAGGTCCAAGGTCAGCATGCCATCCGAGGTAGAGGTTGAAGCCTGCAGAGGGAGAAGGAGGGAATGAAGGGGGTAGATTGTCGTTAGTGAGCATTTCAGGACTGACTGCCTGAAAGAGAAGCAAGCTGTGGTCATTTCCCTCCTCAACGTGCCTTCCCTGAATGAGAAGCCCCCACTCCTGACACAGCCCTCTGACTTTGTTTCCTATTGCTTATTCCTTTGATAGTGACTTAAACTTCTTTCTTTCTTTTATTTTTCTGTGACTTAAAGTAATTTCTCCTGGGGGACTTCCGTGGTGGTCCAGTGGGTAAGATTCCGCGCTCCCAATGCAGGGGGTCTGGGTTCGATCCCTGGTCAGGGAACTAGATCCTGCATGCATGCCGCAACTAAGAGGCAGCATGCCGCAACTAAAGACCCTGCGTGCCGTAACTAAGACGCGGCACAGCCAAACCAAGTTAGCAAATAAATAAATATTTTTTTAAAATACCAATTTATTAAAAAAAATAATTTCTCCTGCTTGTTTCCCATATTTTCCACTTTACTACGAGCTTCCTGAAGAGTGTCTTTTTCCTCTGTATTGTGGACTCTAAGCATCAGTTGGGTTTGACACATACAGGATGCCTGGCATGGCAGGGTAACTGTCCTTTTCCATCTGTATTCTCTGAGCCACAGACCTCAACCCCCTCTGCTATTTGGACCTCAGAACTTCTTGCCTTAAAATAAAACTTGTTCTATTTCCAGAATACTGTAATTAAAAAAAAAGTGATAATGGTATTCAGCACCTTATATGTATTGATACATATGTTGTTTCAATCACTCCTCACAGCAACCGTTCAAGTGGGCATGATTACTGCCCCACTTTACAGTTGGAGGCGGGCAGCTTCAGAGTACACTGCAAAGCTAGGTTCCAATCCAGTTCTGTCTGATTCCAAAGCCCATGTTCTTTCTTTCTTTTTTTTAAAAATTAATTAATTTTATTTTATTTATTTTAGTTTTGGCTGTGTTAGGTCTTTGTTGCTGTGTGCGGGCTTTCTCTAGTTGTGGCGAGCGGGGCCTACTCTTCGTTGTGGTGCACAGGTTTCTACTGTGGTGGCTTCTCTTGTTGGAAGCATGGGCTCTAGGTGCACGGGCTTCAGTAGTTGTGGCATGCGGCTCAGTAGTTGTGGCTCGCGGGCTCTAGAGTGCAGGCTCAGTAGTTGTGGCGCATAGGCTTAGCTGCTCCGCGGCATGTGGGATCTTCCCAGACCAGGGCTCGGACCCGTGTCTTCTGCATTGGCTGGCGGATTCTTAACCACTGCGCCACCAGGGAGGCCCCCATGCTCTTTCTACTATACCCGAGTGCCTCTTTCCCTAGACACTTAGCGCTCAGACAAATGAAAGAAAATCCTTGTTCCTCTAAGTGCCTGTGATACATAATGCTGTTATCCGTCAGGACAGCTAGCCACCAGACAGTAGCTTATGTTGCCTTGTACTGTATTCATCTCTTCTACTTTTCACTTCCCTTGTGGGTATATCTCATTTTCCCCAAAGGATGATACATTTATTGAGGGCAGGACTTTCAAATTCACAGTAGGTGCTGACTAAATATTTTTGGTTTGGAGGAATCAAGAAAGGGAACAGGGTGGAGGGACTTCCCTAGCCTTTGACCTTGGTACACAAATGCCTCTGGTGGGCTGTCTGAGATACAGTCCTGTCTGAGATGAACTGACGTGGAGTTGGCCCTTCAGCAATTTTTACTTTCTTTCTTTTTTTTTTTTTTTTGCGGTACGCGGGCCTCTCACTGTTGTGGCCTCTCCCATTGCGGAGCACAGGCTCCGGACGCGCAGGCTCAGCGGCCATGGCTCACGGGCCCAGCCGCTCCGCGGCATGTGGGATCTTCCCGGACCGGGCACGAACCCGTGTCCCCTGCATCGGCAGGCGGAGTCTCAACCACTGCGCCACCAGGGAAGTCCAATTTTTACTTTCTTATAGTCTTACATACCACAGCCATTAGGTGTCCCCGAGTTGGGGGGCGGCGGGAGTGCTGGATTTTTGCCCTGTCTCGAGTTGGGTGTGCGAGATAGCTGTCCTCCTCAACGGTGACCTGAAGAGATGCACTGTGAGTCATGGGTGCTATTTGGAGACTCTGTCCCAACCCAGCTTCCCCTGAGGCCTGAACATGCCTGGACTGGGAATAATCCCACCTCATGAACAATTTCTGAGCAAATCCAAGGGCAAGGGATGTATTGGACATGAAGGGGCTCCTTAAGCTTGGCCCAGGGCTGGCCCATGCATCAGAAAGTGGGGAAAGAGAAGTTGGCAGAAAAGACTTAGAAGTCAGAAGGAGAATAGGGTTTCAAAAGGGAAATAAAGAGCAGAGCTGGTGGGGAGCTAGTAAATGGGGCCCACACCATCCTCTTCCCTCTTCAGTGAGTCATTCTGCTCCCTCTGCCTCAGCGTCCCCTTCCCCACAATAAACCTCCTGACCTCATCCAAGATGCGGTTCTTGGCGCGGGTGATGGCGGAGTTGAGGGCGTTGATCCATGATTCCTTCTCTTCCGGACTCACTGCCAGGAAGATCAAGTTGGGTGCCTGTGAGGAGAAGATTCTTGTTTCAGTCAGGGTTTTACATTTGGCCTCACCTTGACAGTGAAGAAGTAAGAAAGTATAATCTCATTCTCTTAGACCCAGCTCTTGGAAGGAGAGAGATTCTACTTCTGGAGTCATCCGTAACTAAAGGAAATCAGCCTCTATTCCTGCAAAATGCCACTGCTTGGAGGCTGTTTTAGAAACGACCAATGAGGAGCTTAGAAGGGTACCAGATATTAATACGGCACTGGAGATAATTAGAGGAGGTTTGGGGAAGGACAGGTACTAAAATAAAGATCTTTAAATGTTTGAAGAAATAGAATTTGACAGGAATGGCTTCCCTGGGTTTCCTCAGACAAGAGAAATTAGATTCAGAATTTCAACCGCCTATCACAGTACAGGGAAAAGTGGCTGTCTCCCAAGAGGGGTGTGTTTGTGTATTTGTGTGTGTGTGTGTGTTAGAGAGAGAGAGAGACAGAGACAGAGAGAGGGAGAGAGATATGATCTTTGTGGCTGGACAGTTTAAAGGCTGGCTTGCCTGGAAGGAAGGAAATGGCCATGATATTCTCAGGTTAAATAATAAAAGCTGGCAGGAGAGCAATAATTCAGGGCCTCTGAGCCAAGAGAGCTGAGAGAGAGATCCTGAAGGGGCAGGTGCTCTCCTCTGCTCCCCACACCCCTGACCTGGTCGATGTTCCGGTGGCCCAGGCGGCAGGCGGAGCGTACCGTGTTCCCAGGCTGTTTGGAGTGGGCAAGAGTGAACTTGCTATGATTCTTCTTGCTCCTGCTCTTGGATTTCCGGAGCTCTTCACACTTCTCATAGTCACTCAGGTCAAACACCTCTTGAACATTTTTCTCATCTTTTACCTAGGGGAGGGTTGGAGGTGAGGTGCTGAGGATAAAATTACTTAGTCCCTTCTCCCAAATTGTTAGCTACTGACCAGTCTTGGGAACCAGAAGAAGCCTGAGAGGGGAGGGATGACAGGTTACAGAAAGGCTGTCCTACCCAAGGCCCACAGAGGCCTGACAGTGGGGGGCAGCCCCCCATGTCCTGATTCCTCAGGTGGGTTTCCATTTAAACCCCTTGTCCCCACTCCCCTCAGCCAAGCTACCATTTCCAGAGCCCCAGTAGGTCTCTCTTCACTGTGACTCCCACTTTGTCCTTCAAAGGACATGGTTACAGGACTAACAGTTTAATCCTATCATCCTGAAGTAAGCAAGACCCGGATGGCCCTTGATTGTCCAGAGGGAGGAGGTAAAGGCAGGGTCAATATCAGGGGATGTCTGGAGGGAACGAAGGGCTGCCTCCGCCCTCCCCTGTCCTATGTTTATGCTGTTGCCTTCTTATCCATCCCATTATCCCCTGGCTCCTTCCTTAAATATATACTATTATGAAGAGACTGATCTATCTCCTTCTTTTCAGAAGCTTCAGCACCATAGGAACAGCAGCCCCTGTGTTCAGTTTGTTGAGTTTGTTCAGACAGGGTGAAAAACACACCTGTAGTTCCTACCCCTCCTTCTTCCTTCCAAGGTACCGTGACAACCCAACCTAGCTCCTGTGGGCTTGAGAAGCCACTTAATTATCCACTGCTCTCTAGGCAAAGATGCATTTATACTCTCCCTGGAGGACTACTTGGAAAAAAGCGTTCTGCTACCTGTTTCCATGATTCCAGTTTGAGCCCTTACTGCCAGGAAGTTCTTCCTTGTGTCTAAACTGAGCCCCTCCTGCTTGTAGAATCCATCTTGCACCCGGTTCCACTCTCAGCATTTCTATCCATCATTTGGCTCTTAACTCTCTTGTTGAATGTCTAATCAGAGACCACAGTTCCGTCTACATCCTCCAACCCCAACCAGCCTTTTATGAGTGCCACAAAGCAAATTCTACTAACATTTCTGCCAAGGTCTGTTTTAAACTTCTCAGGGTTTTTTCTCCTCTCCCCTAAGGTATTCCCATAGCCCTAATCCTCTGAAGCTGTGATTTGGCTTGCAAGAGGAAAGAAGTCTTCATCACTGGCCTGGATGGAGCAGCCTGTGATTAGAAAACCCTTTCACCCTCTGCTACTTGCGCCTGGGACTGCAAGACCCTGTGGAATGAGCTGTTCAGGTTTTCCTGGGATGAGAGATGAAAACCACCAGCACTTGTCTTGTTAAAACTAAACAGTCAAAAGTAGCCTCATATGTTCCTTGGAAGACATCTACCCTCTCTGACTGGAAGTATTTCACAAAAGAGTCCCCACATCTCAAGCTCTGAAATAGGAATTGTGTGCCTGGAGGTGACTTCATTAATCCACCTGGTTCTCTCTTCCATCCCCCAGCCGATCTCTGCTCTTGTATCTGCCTATCCTTCTGACTTGGCACTGGACCCAGGGGGCTGACACAGACTCATTGAGGTGAATGGCTGCTCATACACCCACCTTGCTTTGTTTCCACGTGACCTGGCTCCTCCAGGGCTCTCCCCTATCCTGGGCTCCCGGGTTTTGGACTAGGAAGTGACCAGAAGCCTTGAAGGCTGTAGGTGAAAGTGGACAAGATGCTGGCAAGGGGTGTCCCAGAACAATTCCCAGAAACAGGGAAGCAGGGATTCCCAGAACATGGGTGATGCATCACTCCTCTTCCCCTCCTTCCTCAGAGCTGAGGCTATCAGCAGAGGCCAGAAATCTTGCAGAGGAAAGTGCTGGGTGTGTATATGTAGCCAGGGGAAAAGAGTTACTTGTTCTGTTTTCCTTAGGGGAGGGGAGGAGAGGGGAACGGAAGGGGAGGGGAACAGAGGGGAAGGGAAGGGAAAGGGAGATATTCTGGCTTGGACACGACTGATAAGGAGCTCTGGGGAGCAGAAGACATTGACAGGGGTTAGCCCCTCATAAGGCAGGGGTAGAAGATGGGGTAAAGCAGTGAAACAAGCATACTCCAGTGCCCAGGGAAGATGGACAACCCCAAGACCCTAGTTCTCCACTGTATTGTTTCTGCCCATCTAATTCCCACAGTCTCATTTATAATTACCACCCACAAAAGTCAACCCTTTCCCCCGATTCTTTCTCCTTAGCCCACAGAAAGGAATTTTTCCCATGCTTGCCAAAAAAAGATGCCTTGAACTCAATTTCCTCTACCATGAGGTCTCCCTAAGGTCTAGTTTCTGTTCCTATACATCAGCTCCATGATCATAAGGTGCCCTTTGACTAAGAATGAAGAAAACGATTATTAACAACAAATACAGAAGGATTTCTTTGGTGGGGGCAGTTGCAAAAAAAGACTGGCGCAAATTCTAGGGGAGAGGGTTAGGGATTTCCTGCATTAACATATAAATTACTGGGACTTCCCTGGTGGTCCAGAGGGTAAGACTCCTAGCTTCCCAATGCAGGCGCTGGGGTTCAATCCCTGGTCAGGGAACTAGATCCCGTGTACATGCTGCAACTAAGAGTCCGCATGCCACAACTAAAGATCCCACAGGACGCAACAAAGATCCTGCGTGCCGCAACCAAGACCCAGTGCAGCCAAAATAAATAAATAAATAAAATTTAAAAAGCCCATGTAAATTACAAACATCATACTATATTAAAAAGAATCTTGACTCTGTTGGCTCTGGAGCTTTTGGGAAGTGGACAGAATAAAGCCTATAGTCCTTGATCAGTTTCACCTTTAACCTAGGCCTTTGTAGCGTGGAAACTGGCCCCAAAGAAGAGTACTACCAATAGGCTTATTCCCTATTTTCCTATGCCTTTCTCAGCAGTGGGCAGTTGGCCCCATGATCGGTCAGATGCTCCTGACTCACAGGATACCAGACATCCTAAGCTGCGGTCATTCGATCCTTTCCCCTGTCTCAGTACCCCTTCCTCCACAAACAAGGGTCAACTACGCTCTTTTGCCCCCTGACTCTGTTCTTTGAACAAATACAAACAAGAAAAAGATGTCTTGTTCCTTCTACCCTTTCCCTGATCACATGTTTTCCCCACTGACGTGTGGGAAGTTCTCCCTGATTGCTACTAGAGTTTCCTGCCATTATGGAGTTCAGGGAAGACAGGAGATACACTTTGACACTTGCCTAAGGAAAAAAAAAGCCAAAAACCACCCCCTGGAAAGCCCACACATTGTGGAAAAACCTTGGGTAGGATTTGGGGTTGGGCAGAGGTGACCCTTAAAAATAAATTCTCCTGTCAAAGTGTTTTCTCACCTCACTCCATCACCAAGTTCTCAGTGTAAACAGCAAGGTTTAAATACCCTTATGAGGGATCTCTTTGGCCCTGGCACAGCTTAGTTCTTTCTTAGCTGCCTCAGTAGATGTCCTGTTCAGATGAATACTTTCTCTAGGACTGCGCATGTGTCTATTTCAATACCATAAAAGGATTTATTTACCTAAATATAGTCTATGCAGAAAGCAGAAGAGGTTAGAACTCAGGGAGGACTTCGCAGTTAGCCCTGGGTGAGGGGGCGGGTGGAGGGTCATCCTACTAGGGGAACTCAGGACAGTCTCCTAGGCGATGCTGACACAGTCAAAGAGGTAGGGACTGGAATGACTTCTAACCTACAGAGGGGCAATTTCAGTTTCTCAATATTACTATGTGTCATTTATCCCAAGAATTAGAGATAACAGAGAGAGTAATCTGGATTCAATATGTGGGCTCAGGTTCTGACCCAATGTGGACTGTGGTTTTCATTTTAACTATAGCCCCAAAGACACAGACACACAGGGATTCATAACTCCATTCTCCCTTCTGCTATAACTGGTGGGGGGCAGCTGGGCAGGAAGGAATGGAGAATGAGTTCCCTGCTTCTTTGTTTTTCAGTGGAGTGGGGATGGGGAACAGAGAACATGTTGGTTAGGGACACTGCCTTCAACAGAAACCACTGCCACTTACAAATACTCTACCTGAGGTCATGTGAGACTGACCCTGGGTTGTATGTGTGTTTTCTGTGATTCAGGGCAGCTGCACTACTGATATGACTTGTATATGTCCCTGTGAGAGACAGGAAAGGGGAGGCTAGCTGGGTTGGGATGGGGAGGGCAGGAAGGAGTGGAGAATAAGCTGAACAGTGTTTCAGCAGCAACAGCAAAGAAAAAATAATCCTACGGTCAGCTAGAGGCCAGGATAGGGTGGGGGCCAGCAGGGGACACTTAAAACTTTTGGGACATTCTTGGGAGGGAGTTATCATGGTTGTCAGAAAGGTATTTCCAAAGAAAAATTTTTAAATAAGATGCAAACTCAACTTCTAATTCTAACTCCAGTCTCCTCATTAAAGGGTGACCTTTCTCTGCAGATAAGATGGGGGTAGAGACCAACCAGACCGCTGAACTAGCTTTTGGAACAAAATGAGGAATGAGGTAAGGGGGAGATGAGAAGTAGATAAGACCCCTGCGGAGAGACAAAGTGGGGACTATGAGAAAACAGGGATAGTTAGCGGCAAAGGGCACCTACCTCTTTTTCGGAGATGTAGAGCTGGTCCCCTTTCAGCACCACGTAGCGGTTTTTCCAAATCTCCCTGAAAATCCCTTTCCCGCAGAATTTCCGGACCCAGCCGACCTTCTCAGGCGGTGCAGACTGATGATTTCCATCCTGAGGCCCCTGCCCCCCGAGCCAGATGAGAACCACACGATTAGGTGATTACAGCTTTTTTCTCCTCCCGTTCCGTCCCCAGCGCCCTCCTCAGTCCCCGGTCCCCTCCTTCCCGCGTCCGCCCCGCCGCAGCTGGAGTCTGGGAGACCCGCGTTCGCTCCCCACTTCTTCAAAGCCTTTCACTCCAAGGAACTCGCTTCCCCATCGCTCCCCTCCCCCTTCTCCCAAATAAACAACTGGAACTGCCAGTGGAAGGGGTGACGGCCGGGCTGGAGCCGAGGGGTGGCCTTCGGGTCTCCGCCGAGCCCCCCGCCCCCTCCCCCAGCCTCCCTCCTCGCCGCGCCGGGATTAACGGCATTTTATTTTATTTCTCATTGTCTTCTCGCCGCTGCAGAGCGCGATGCCGGCGGCCGCCAGCCGCCCGAGGAAGGGGAGGCCGGGGGTCGGGTAGAAACTCAGCCAAGTTAACCCCCAGCCTAAGTAAACAAACAAAAGCCCCCGCCGGTGCCTCGTCGTGGGGCCCAGCGCGCCGAGGCCGAGGCTAAGGGGACCGGCCATCGGGCCACGGGCCGGAAGGAGGGGGCTGGCGCGGGGCGTCCCCGGCCCCCAACCCGGCCGCCCGCGGCCCCGACGGGGCTGGGGTCCTCGGGGCACAAAGTCAGCGGCGGGCACGGGGCGGGCGGGCGCACTCACCCGCTTGGTGGAATTGTTCTTCTTCATCATTCCGGGCGGGCGGGCGGACGCGGGCGCCGAGGGGCGGCCCCGCGTCGGGGGCCGAGGCCGCTTCGAGGGGGCTCCTGCCCAGGGGGAGGGTGCGGAGAGGCCCCCGGCGCCGCCGCCGCCGCTCCTCCCTCCCTCCCTCTCCCCTTCTTTGTAGCTCCGGTTACACTAAAGGCCGGCCTCCCTCGCGCTCGCACACACACGCACGCCCGCTCCCCGCCCCTCGGCGCCCTCCATCCCGGCGCCCACGCGGCCCGGGCCCCCGAAAGCTCCCCCGCCGCCCGCCCGCCCGGCCCGGCCCGGCCGCTCCCCCGGCCCGGCGCGCTGTGGGCGGCCCAGCCCGCGCCCCGCAGCTCCATCCACCCGCCCGCTGACGTTGCGAGTTCAGAATAAAGGGCGAATCGCCGAGCCGGAGAGAGTGCGCTCCCTCCACCCCCCTCCTTTGTTTCTGACTCACTGAGGGTGAAGAAGACAGACCTAAACCCCGCCGTAGAACGGCGTCTGGAGGGGCCGGGAGTCCGAGACTCCCACAGACCGCCGGAGCGAGAGGTGGAGCCAGAAAAGACAGCCCGGGCCGACCTGCCGAGAGAGACGGCAGGGGCGGATGGAGCGGATGATAGAGAGACAGGGAGGTTTATGAAAACCGGCGATAACCTAGATCGGGATCCTCTCCCCCTCAAAGCCAAAACAAAAACAAGAACGTGAGCTGGGAGGGCGCGTTACCCAGGACTGGCAACTGGAATTCACACTCCCTAGGTGGTACTGATAGTGGTCTGGGCAGGTCAACCGTTGGGGAAAAGTTTTATGGAGGGTACCGATGTGAAGGGCGACTCCGTGGAAGAGAAGTTAATATTAATACACATTTCTTCCAGTTTACAAAGCCTCAGGCCTTATTTGAGCCTCAGGAGAATAACCCTAAGTACGAGGTACATATTATGATCTCCATTGCACAGAGAGAAAAGTGAGATTCAGAATGGCTGAGGGATTTGCAGACACACTGTAAGTGCTGGCAGGAATAGAACTGTCTGTCTCCAGAGCCCTGGTCTGTTAGACCAAGTGGCTTTACAGACAAGCTCCAGGTGAGGCTTAAACTTCCTACTACCTGGTATCTCTCCCTGATGCACTGACACGTAAAAATTCCATCCTGTCTACCGCAATGCCCAGAGGATGCCCTAGCTGGGGAAGGCTCTGCTGATCACCCCTAAGCCAGATCTGCCTCAGAGCCCACACACCAGCATCTTGGTAACTTCATTTTTCTCCCAGTACCCATTTAACAGGAAGAGGAAAGTCAAGAAACCTAGGTTTGGGTACTAGTTTCATCACTGCCCCGTGGTCTTTGGTCAAGTCACTGAATTTCTTTGGGCCTCAGTTCCTCTACATATTAAGTAGTGACTGCCAATTCCATCAACAAGGAAAGATAGGGCAATATATGAGATAACCCATGAAAGTCCTTTAAAAATACAGTATTGCCCTCTAGGGCTAATTACTAAATAATAATGAGCTAACGAACACATTGCCTGGCATATGGTAGGCAGACAGTAACTTCAAAATGAATACAAATCCCTGGCACAGAGAAGCAGGGAAAAGAAAGAACCCCTTTTTTCAGAGATGTCTCAAGATAAAAGAAAATGTTGGCCAAATTAAGGAGTGGAGTGGTCTTGGCTTTTTCTGGTATCTGTCAAATAAAGGAGGGGGCTTCTCTCTTTTCTGAGGCCCCCTTTTCCCCTAATCCAATAATATTCCTCTTAACCTCTTTTCATTTACCATACTAATTAATTCCTGTATTTTAGACTCATATAGAAATGTACCCTTTCAAAATGCTCTCATATATCATTTAACTCTTTAGTGCCACCTTGTGAGGTATATATCAATAGAATAAATATTATTCCCACTTGGAAAATGAGGAAACAGGGCATGGCAAATCAACGGACTTGCCCAAGTTTACACAGCAAGTTACTGGCTAAATAGATTAGAATCCAGGTTTTCTGACTCCACTCTGTTTAGGTTTCATACACACACACACACACACACACACACTCTCTCTCCCCTTCCCACCATCTCTATTTCCCACCCTCTCTATTTAACAAGTGATTTAAAAAGAATGAGAAAATCCAGGGTATCTTCATAAGTAAGGAAGCAAAATGTCCCATCATACTGGTAAGAACACTACCCTGTTTGATCTTTTGAGGGCTTGCTTGCCAGGTAGATAGGAGTGGTTTGGACTCTTAGTTTAAATAGATTCTGGTTTATGGGGAAAAAAGTAATTCATGACTTGCCCCATCTTCCTTTCGTCAGCAAATACTTGAATATGTCCTGTATGCAAGGTACTAGGGTCCTATGTGCTATATCAGGCAGGAGCTGGAGCTTTGTGGAATATCAGGCAGAGGGACTCCTAAGAAATCAAAACCCTCCAAAGTAATTTTCAGATTCCAGAACAGATGCATGTGGGCTGGAGAACCTTCCCTGCCTATTTGCTCCTGGAGATGTTACATAAATCTCTGGTTTTCTCTCTCATTAACCTGCACCGCTGCACTGCCTCATCTTATCATCCTGCCCCTACCTTCCCTTACTTTGTCTCCCTTTGTCTTGCTACTCATCCCTCTTCCCATAAGGCATACTCCTCCCCTGTCCTGTTCTTCAAGCTTTACTTCTCTCTACCAGGTGAACCTTGTGGCACCTGACTTGGGTTCTATGAACTGAGACTATTTCTGAAGACCAACTCGAAAGTGAGAAATCTCAGAGTAACAACTTATGGGTTCCATTTCTCATTTTCACAGCACTGTCTCCTCAGTGAGCTTGACATTATCGCACACACAAACCACAAAAATAACTCAGATAACTCAATGTCCTTCTTTGGTGGAGATAAGATACTGGTGGGGGGAGCTTCCCTGGTGGCGCAGTGGTTGAGAGACCGCCTGCCGATGCAGGGGACACGGGTTCGTGCCCCGGTCCGCGAAGATCCCACATGCCGTGGAGCGGCTGGGCCCGTGAGCCATGGTCGCTGAGCCTGCGTGTGCGGAGCCTGTGCTCCGCAACGGGAGAGGCCACAACAGTGAGAGGCCCGCGTACCGCAAAAAAAAAAAAAAGATACTGGGGGTACTCATGGTGGGGTTACCTCCCTAACTGCATCACCATGGATAAGACACAACTGTCAGTAGCTTTATTCTTAAATTGACTATTTTATAAGTAACTCCACTTAAAGCGACGAAGAAGTGAGCCATCAGAGATAAGGATTTTGAATTGCTGCCTGCATATTTACTGGGCAAAAACTGTTATCCAAACAGTTGTTTACCTAAAAACAAGCACCTTGGCTTTTGTAGAGTAAATGGGACATAGAGGTTTTGACTAGGCACTTCAATCTCTGGAAGAGAGGTCATTAAAAGCATGAGACCTTAATTAGGGCTTCCCTGGTGGCGCCATGGTTGAGAGTTCGCCTGCCGATGCAGGGGACACGGGTTTGTGTCCCGGTCCGGGAGGATCCCACATGCCGCCTGCGCGTCCAAAGCCTGTGCTCTGCAACGGGAGAGGCCACAACAGTGAGAGGCCCGCGTACCGCAAAAAAATTTAAAAAAAGCATGAGACCGTAATTACAATGACGTTTTTAGGGACTTCCCTAGTGGTCCAGTGGTTAAGAGTCCACGCTGCCACGGGAGGGGAGCCCTGGTCAGGGAACTAAGATCCCACATGCCGCGCGGTGTGGCCAAAAGATTGAAAAAAAAAATGTTTTTAAAGGGAAAAAATAAAGGACCGGTAATAATGTAATCAGCTCTGTAAATCTTAAATAAAAATATGAATCTTTGATCCTTAATAAAGAAATGCCAACTTCTGGCATAAAACATCCTGAAGGTAAGGCTCATTTCTTAGACTTAAAAAATTTTTTTTTTTGGCTGCACTGCATGGCATGCGGGATCGTAGTTCCCTGACCAGGGCCCCCTGCAGTGGAAGCAAGGAGTCATAACCACTGGACCACCAGGCAAGTCCCTAGACTTCTTGATATTGTTAGCTGAGTAGGCACAATGGAAGCAGGTGAATAATGAGGAGAATGATATTAGAAAAATCTCTGTTCTTATTCCAGAGCTATCTTGCCAAGAGAAAGGCAAGCACAGGTAATCCTGCTTGGAGGAAGGAGGTTTCTGTTTATTTGAAAAGACTATGTAACTTGTAAAACGCTGCATTTAAAACTTGTCTCCCCTAGCCTTAAAAGTAAGGCTGCCTTACTTTTTTTATTATTAAAAAAAAACAACCAAAACAGAACAGAACTTATTAGATCTTAGCTCTTAGCTGTAATATAGACAAAAGGCTTAGGGCTTCGCATGAGTGTAAGGTGAAGAAACAATGGTAGAGAGTTGAGAGAGGAATGGGGAAAAGGGAGATGGATCCGATGACCCTTCACCTCTTCCCTCTACTTCTTGAACTGCTGATTAATGTAGTGGGAGGATGACAGGAATCCAACCATTTTGTGTAGTGATTTTGTATCCCCAACTTGGAGACAGCAGTCAATCTTATTTACTATTATTAGTCAAATTTCCTTCGATGGTTTACTATATACCAAAGTTCTAAGTGTTTTAAATGTATTCTCTCATTTCATTTAGTCCTTATGCTCCTATGAGGAGGTACTTTATTACTCTTTTTTTTTTTTTTTTTTTTGCGGTACGTGGGCCTCTCACTGTTGTGGCCTCTCCCGTTGCGGAGCACAGGATCCGGACGTGCAGGCTCAGTGGCCATGGCTCATGGGCCCAGCCGCTCCGTGGCATGTGGGATCTTCCTGGACCGGGGCACGAACCCGTGTCCCCTGCATCGGCAGGCGGACTCTCAACCACTGCACCACCAGGGAAGCCCTACTCTCTTTTTATAGATGAGGAACCTGAGCCACAGAGACTTAATAACATTCCCAAAGCCACATAACTTGACACAGATTTGAGCCTAGGCTATCTGATGCTAGAGAATGTTAATCAACATAAAAGGTCTAAAAAATTTATTACAAAGCACCAAAGAGGGACTGTGATATGATTTGAGCACACGATAATTTCCTGGTATTAATGACATTATCAGTTTCCACTGCTTTCAAGAGAAGTGAAATTGACACCAGTGGTTAAGAGTCCACGCTTCCACTGCAGGGGGCCCTGGTCAGGGAACTAAGATCCCACATGCCGCGTGGTGCGGCCAAAAGATTGAAAAAAACAAATGACGACTCCTTTTTAAATGAGTCATTTAAAATAAATAAATAAACAAACAAATAAATAAATTTATTTATTTATGGCTGCATTAGGTCTTAGTTGCTGCACGGGGGCTTTCTCCAGTTGCAGCGAGCGGGGGCGACTCTTCG